GGTCACATCCAGACCACACCCATCACAGGGGTTACTAGAACCAGCAGAAGAGGCAACATCCGGGTCAGAATCAACCGGATTCGACCATTCAGGCATCGTCTTGTCTGAAGATGAGGATGCAACAGCACCAGAGCCGATTCCACCAGTGGGTCTTTGACCACTCACCTTTCAATCCAATTTATACAGAACCGGTGGTGACACAGAAGCATATCCCTTGCCTCCCATTTTCCAGTAACACTGTACAAAAACAATGGGAGAACCTAGGAGGAAAAGAAGTTCTAGACAGCCCTTAGGAAGTCTCATCTAGCCTCAGCTTGGGCAGTCAAGGCCTCCACCTCGATGTCCCTCTTTGCACGAGCCTCGGTACTCTGGCTACGCGAATTGCAAGACATGGTTCCGCAGATCAGGTCAGGATGCACCAGAACCTGGGTAAGCTGGTGGCCACATCGCAACACCTAGCAGACTCCTCCCTCCATACGGCCAGATACTCCACACGGTCCATTGCCACAGGCATTTCTGCACGCAGGTTATTGTGGCTAAAGAACTGGTGAGTGGACCTAAAGGCCAAGTGGCGGGCCGCACCAAGCCTTACAAAGGGAGGGCTCCTATTCGGGACGGCTCTTGACCCTTACCTTGTTGAGGGCAAAGACAAGCGCAAGTCACTAGTGAACGCGCCCAAGAAGGGAGACAAGAGACCGGGAACCGGAACATCTCAGGCTTTTTATCATAGACAGCCCTTTGACCAGCACCAGCCAGAGCTAGGGTCAGACATCCAGCACCCCTACCAAAGACAGGACCGCCAGCAGAACCGTATTTCATACGGTAACCGCCACCATGCACAGGCGAAGCGTCCCTCAAGAGGAACTGGAGGGCGATTCACCAGGCGAGGCAAGTGATACCACAACAGATGACTCTATAGGGGGTAGGCTGACCCGCTGTTCCAACGTATGGGCAGCCACCACCACGGACCCATGGGTACTTGACACCGTGACCCATGGGCTAATGCTGGAATTTCAATCCAGCCCAATTAATTGTTTCCGAACATGCCCCACTTGCAGATAAGGCAGCCCTCATGTCAGAGGCCATAGGACAACTCCCTCAGATACAGGCTATAGAGCTGGTACCTCAGAATCAGTGGGGTCAAGGGTTCTACTCCAACCTGTTTGTCGCTCCCAAGACATCAAGGGGATGGAGGGCAATACTAGACCTTAAGGACCTAAACTTCTTCTTAAAATACAGGAAGTTCAAGATGCAATCCCTACAGTCAATCCTGGCTGGGATCAGACAAGGGGACTTCCTTACCTCCATAGACCTGACAGGGGCATACTTACACGTTCCCATCTTAGCAGGCTACCGTACATTCCTTAGGTTTTGCTACAACCAGGGTCACTATCAATACAGAGCTTTACCATTCAGTCTATCCTCAGCCCCTAGAGTGTTCACCAGGATGCTGACAGCACTGAATGCACACTTGGGACAGATACCCATCAGAGTCCAGTGCTACTTGGACGACATATTAATTCAGTCACCCTCCGCACAGGGAGCTCAATCAGACCTCACCCTAACAGTTAGTACCCTGCAGGACCAGGGGTTATCTGCCAACTTTTGCAAGAGCCACACGATACCCTCAACAAGGCTCCTTCACCTAGGAGCAATCATTGATGCAAGCAGCTGTACGGTCTATCTACCACAGGATCGCCGGACCAGCATTCGGAAGGCAGTCCGGAGAATCCAGAGATCCAGAGTGTCTTCCCTGGTATCATTATTGCAACTTCTGGGGAAGATGGTGTCCTGCGTACAGATCATACCCCGGGCCCGCCTTTGTGCCCGGGAGATACAGTGGCTCAATCTCCCGTTCCAGAGACTGCGCATCAGCACCTCCAACCGGAAGGTTCGAGTTCCGCAGGCAGCATTGAACTCCCTTCAATGGTGGACCTCTTCAGCCCCAACGCCAGTCTGTTTGGCTGGGGAGCACACCTGGACTCACACTGGACACAAGGCCAGTGGTCGCAGGAGGAATAGAGAACAACGTAAACTGGCTAGAACCCAGGGCGATTCGCCTGGCCCTAAGACATTTCAAGGACATAGTAAGGGGACAGCACATCTTAGTGCTTACCGACAACGTAGCAGCCAAGGCGCACGTAAACAGACAGGGGGGGACAAGGTCAAAGACCCTCATGGAGGAGGCCCAATTGCTGGGGACGTGGGTGGAACTAAATCTTGCTTCCCTCAGGGCAGAACACATATCCGGACAGTCCAACCAGCAGGCGGACTCGCTAAGCAGAGCAACGGTGGACCATGCAGAATGGCAGCTGGACCCACAGGTGTTCCAAGAGATCACGGACAGGTTTGGCCTTCCGATCCTAGACCCCTTGCCTCCCCGAACAATTCTCAACTACCAAGGTTGTTTTCCAGATTCCCTTCACCGTCAGTGGAGGGAACAGATGCCTTCGCAGCCCCTGGCCAAGGGGACTGTTGTACGCCTTCCCTCCCCTCCCGCTTCTTCCGGCCACAACCCGGAAGATACTGCAGGAACAGGCGGAGATCCTTCTGATCGCACCCCACTGGCCCAGGCGCCCCTGGGTTGCCGATCTGATGGATCTCTCCATCAGGGTCCCATGGCGGATTCCATCAGATCGCATCTCCCTCACGCAGGGGGAGCTTCAACATCCAGACCCTCAGTGGTTACAGTTAGCCGCTTGGCACTTGAATGCTGGGCATTGAGTCAGGACTCATATTCCACAAGGGTAATAGACATGATCTAACAATCCAGGCGCCCTTCTACGAATAGAATATATGACGCAACGCGGAAGGGATTTGGCAGGTGGTGTTCAGGGCGTGGACTCGAACCCTTAGCGGCCTCTGTACCTACGGTACTGGAATTCCTAGCGGAAGGACTGGAGAGAGGTCTATCCCTGAACACCATCCGTAGGCAGGTAGCAGCCCTCGCTACAGTAATCACGTGCGACAACGCTATTTCCCTAGCGCAGCATCCCATGGTTCGCTCCTTCACCAGAGGAGCTTCCAACGCATGCCCACCGAAGGTGCATCAATATCCCTCGTGGGAGCTTCGCAGAGTCCTAATGGCACTCGTTAAGCCGCCATTCGAACACATAGGCACATGTCCCATTAGACTTCTATCATTGAAGGTGACCTTCTTGATTGCGATCACATCAGCCAGAAGGATTTCTGAACTGGCGGCCCTATCGGCAAACAGGAACGGGTGTGTATTCCATGCGGACAGGGTAGTACTTTGGCTAGACCCGTCCTTTTTGCCCAAGGTTAACTCTCTATGCCATAGATCGCAGGAGGTGGTGCTACCGGACTTCTGTCCCAACCCATCCAATGACATCGAGAAACAATGGACCGCCCTCGATGTACGTGGGTCCCTACAATGCTACATACACCAGACAGCAGGCTTCCGTAGGTCCGAGGCGTTGTTCATATTATTTCAACCCTCATCCAAGGGTCAGAGGGTCTCCTCTTCCATGATTGGCAGATGGATTAGGGCCTGCATTGCCCTAGCATACCAAACCAGTCACTGCCAACTCCCAGTCATATAACCGTTCACTCTACCCGTGGCGCCGCTACCTCGGCAGCTTGGGCAATTCAGGCATCCATAGAGGAGATTTGCAGGGCAGCGGCTTAGTCCTCGCCCTCGTCCTTGTCCGCCACTACAAGGTCGACAAGTACGCATCAGCCGAGGCTTCATTCGGCCGTAAGGTCTTGAAGCAGGCATTGATATTAGAAGGTAGCCAGGCCCAGTCAGATTCCCTCCCTTAGGGACACAGGGCTTTGGTATGTCCCATTGGTGAATTATCCATCCAATCATGTTGGAGAAAGGGCGTTGTTTACCTGAACGCCTATTCTCAACATGATGATGGATAATTCACCCCCACCCTAGGGCCTGGAAGCCTGGGTATTATAACAAACACGTACACA